TTATTACTATTAGTCTTTTTTTTTGTTAACAGTTTAAGACTGAAGCAGAGTAAACTTCTATAGATGTGCTGCTAAAATTTACATTATAGTTTACATTTTAATTTAAATTTGCTAGTTGCATGTTGAGGAAAATGTATAAAAAATAACTTATTTTGTTTTTTAATGTATGCAACAGTATTTGTTTTGCAGTATTTGTATTGTTAATACATTCAGAGGGAGTGTGGCCTTATAAAAAAAGAGCCTGTTTGAAATAAAATAAATGGTTTCAAAAGTTATGGTGTGATTAATATACCAACTTATCTACTTGGCAGAGTTTGCACTACCTTCTTATTGTCAAACATAATATTTACCCATCAATTTTTTGCATGATAATTGCATTTTATTTTCATTCTGTTTAATATTCAACAAGTTGAACAGATAATCCACACGAACCCCACTACTTGGTGTCAGTATCGGTGAGTAGCTAAACTGAAGTACTCGTACGCAGTCTTGAAAAAACTGGTATCGGGACACCCCTACTCAAACATGTCCTTCACACATGCAGGAAGTAATTTGCATCCGTTTAAACATATGTTAATAAAGGCGTGTCAGGGGAGGTGTCTTACCTGCGCTCAGTTTCACATTAATTGTGATGTACAAAAGCAATGTGCGTGGATTCAGGCGTACACACAGTTTGATACATCTGGATTTTTTTGTGCGTACGCCGTTTTCTGGATTTGACCGTACGTCAGGTTTCAGTAAGAAATCCACGCAAGTCTTTGTACATGAGGGCCCAGGAGACCACCCAGCCAATCTGTAGAATTCACTGATCAAAGTCCAGACATAAATCCAGAAGAGAGAAGAACAGAGGTCCCACCTTTGACATGTCATCCCATGGAAGAAGAAAAAACTTTGTTCCAAGGTTCCAGGTTATGTATAAAACTTGCCTTTAAAAATCCAATTGCAGAGGTGCCAACCTGGGGTCATCCCAAATCATAATGATTGTCTCGGAGCATTTGCGACGCGCGTTCATTTTTGACAGTTT